AAGATTTAATAAGAAAAAAATTATTAATTTATTTAGAAAAAATAAAAGAAATTGATTTATCCAATATAAAAAAAAAAATTCTGTTCTTATTTGGTTCTGGGTCTAGAACCGAGAACCTAACCAAACCATTCGGTTCTCGATTCGGATACCCGTTCGGGTATTTCATTTAAAAAAACCATCTCGATTCGGTTCGGACATTTTGCCCAGCCCTATGTATACTGCATTTTTTAAAGCACCAAAAAAAAAAAAAAAAACCTTCTAGCAAGCCTACTGTAATTAATCCATCCACTGATGGTATGAGCGGCACAAAACCGAACCCCCGGCGCAGGCCTTTCACGCTGCACGCTTGCAGTGTTTTCGCTTGACGGTCCTTGCCGAAAAATAAAAATAAAAATAAAAAAATTGCCAAGAAACAGATCAATCCCCAGGCCAAGCCAGGTCAGCCTTGTCTTGACAGACCATGCAGGACCCAAGCCTAGCCCGGCATGCCAAAAGAACAGGGAAATGCCCGTTGCCTGGGGTTGTTGATTTTGTGAAACTGATTAAAGAGAAACTTTATATTGTGACTTTACACCGGAAAGAATTACAAGTTGCAATAATCTTATACACATTTGGTATTGACCTTAAACCAGAGTGGGTGCTGCAGGGCTCTGGTATAAGCTACTGGTAATGTCACGAGTTTCTTAGTCCTCCCAACATATGCTCTCTTTGTTAAATTATCGTAGTCGTTCTTCTCAATGGCATCCAGGATCATCCTATACGACATTAAGGATGACCACACCTGAAATTACAAGCACATTAGCATTAATTAGTCAAGTCTTAATCTCAATCACGACATTAATCAAAACAAAATTGCGAGTGAGCATACATTGTTATTGTGGTGTTATATGCACGTTTTCATTACGAATGAGACTGAAGACTATAGTGGCTGCCTTTACGCTTATCAATCTAAAATTGGCCTCATAAATATTCTTGTATATATGTAGGAATATTAGGATGACTTATACCAAGTATACACTTCAACCCAAAGTACACTTAAAATTTCATGAAGGTCAATTCGCAGTCGAGAAGATAAGTGTATAATATGATTGTACTTCATTGGATCTAATGTACGTACATGTACTATTTAGATATAGTGCATCATTAATCAGAGGGTATATTGTGCCGGTGCTAATATGAGATTTGGATCATCCAAGGCACATTAGCATGGTGTAATTCTCAATTTGAAACCATGCCTCTGTTTAGGAGGATAAATAGAGAGATATTTGGTGGGATGTAATATAGATAAAGATCTAGCTTTCGATTCATTAGTAGGATCTGGATTGTCCTACGTGACCACCGGTCCGTTATTAACTATTGACACGATTTGCCAAACCATGTCTCGTTACAAGTGAACTAGAAATCATATAGTGCTAGTCTTCTTGTGTTACTCCTTTTTCATTTTTTTTTTAAGTCCGTTATTGATTTTATCTGGTTTTCTTGAGATTTCTAGTGATTTTTCTCCTACGCAAAAGATGCAATTCACACTCTTCTCACAATGCATTTGTACTGATATTAATATGCATGTAATGAAACATTACCGGCCACCGACTAGCCTTGGCAAGCTGAGAAGCTCCCTCTTCAGCCTGGTTGAAGTAGAACCTTGCCCTACTGATCTGCTCTTTCATGAATTCTCTCCAGCCATCTGTCACCTTTCTTGAGAAGACATCCTTATCGCTCAATCCATACTTCGCAAGATCGTCTTGCGGAAGATAAACTCTCCCTCTCGATGCACTGCAAGAACACAAAACACGACAAGAAATCAGACTAATGTCATAGAGTTGACTACACGAATCATTTTGACATGTATACTCACTCTTCTCCAACATCTCTAAGAATGTTTGTTAGTTGATTGCCGATGCCTAGAGAGAGTGCTGCATTATAAATGCTTTGAGTAGAAAGGGATGATTCTGGTGCAATTCCCATTATTGGAACGCTCATTAGGCCAACTGTTCCAGCCACATAGTAGCAGTACTGATAGAGTTCCTCGAAATTTGCGTATCGATTTTTCCTTATATCCATTCTCATACCCTCAATCATGTCCTTAAAGGGCTGTTAAGTAAACATTTGATTAGTACTTGAAATTCGTGAAAAATAAGGTCGATTAAGCTTGTTTTACCTACCTTGATGTCTAATGGGAACTTGTACAAGGTGTCCGTGAGTGCAGCATCAAGCATGTCATAGGGACGTCCCTCGAATATGTCTTCGAGTCTCTCATCCCACCTATCGAGAACAGAAGAACTCATATAACCCGCATTCGGGCCATCAACCAATTCATCAGTCCTCCTGCACCAGACTGCAGAGAAGCATTTCTATTGAACTGTGATAGAAAAAGTCGAGCAAAAACAAAGTAACAAGTAAATAATTTGCCACTTACCATAAATAGCCCATATTGCTTTTCTTCTCTCTTCTGTCATCAAAAGTGTTCCTGCATCATAAGCAACTTATAAGTTTTATCAAACTACTTAAGTAGAAATTCAAATGATTTCTAGGGTCTGCACCCCACCCCCCACACCCCACAAAGAAAAAATAAAGCAAAAAGCAGGGATTTGAAGATGAACCTAAGTAGAAAGTTTTTGCATATTCTTCACATATGTTCTTGCATTGATCATATGCTTCTTCAAGAAACATAGGATGGAAACTCGGTTTCCTACAAATATCATGTGTAACCAAACCATTGGATCGTGATTGTCTTCGGACAATTTCGAGTACGATTTTATCGGTTCCTCGAATGGATAACTCTGGATGGAAGGACTCATTGTTTCTCTTAGGAACAGCAATAGCCATTTCAGCTCTTGCAGTCGTTCTTCTATTTCTATGAATCAAGAATTTTCCATCACCTGATCTGATGGAAGGCTTACATGCATATGAAAATGCTGCACACATTTTTGCAACTAAAAAAGGGAAATTTATGATAAGTAATGGCCTCAAGGGTTACTACACAAAACTAGGAGAGAATTGTGTATTGAACCCCAACCTTTCTCCCTTTCTATCTTGGGGAGTTATTATATGTGTGGAGCGTAGGATGATTCTACTTCTCCAGCACCTATATTAAATATTCGCGTCATGTCATTATACTAAGTCCTAATAAAAGAATTTGTGGGTGAAGACAAAGAGATGTGAGAAAATTTTGGAATATTATTTTTTACTATACTAAAAATTCTGTGGCGATAAGTACACATTAATTTTACGTTGAAAGTGAATTATTATGAATAGACGAGCAACAAGTGTACGTAATTTGGTTTTTTTTTTAATTTACTATTGCACTTGGAATTGATATTTGGGTTTAATCCCCCTCCATGTGATGGTGTCGACACCATTATATATAATGAATTATATACGTGTACAATAAGGGTGTGGACACGTACCATTATGTACAAATTGCATAATTCTAAAAACTATACAGTTAAAAGACGAAATAACTTTATTGAAATTTGAATTCATATTTTTTTTAATGACCAATAGCGTCGAATTTTACCGTACATGAGCAAATTAGACACAAAAGAAAAAAATTCGAATGGCAAAATAGTTTATTGCTTGTCTTAATAAGAGTCTGTTTGGTACAGATTCTTATTTTCTACTGTAAATCAATTTTCATTTTCAACCACACATTCTTCAATAAAATAATATTTTTCATCACATCAATACTTTTTATTCTTTTTCAACCACACATTTCTCATCATATCACTATTCAAAAATCAATTCTTCCCCAAAAAATTCCTATCAAACACACTCTAAATATACTTATTTAAAAGCATTTTAAGTCACAAATCACTTCGACTTAAACTATGAATTACACATAAAAATGTGATGAAAATAATAAACCGACGCATTGAATTAATTGTATAGCATAACAACAAAAAAGATGCTTATTTGTCTTATATATCAAACTTATCCAAAACATTGTTTCTTGGAATTGTCTTCTCATGCAACTCAACTAAGGATCTAAACCACATTAGATACCCTTTTAAACCCTTTCATTTTCTTGTTTTGTCCTCTAATTGATGGTATCTCCTACTAAGAGACTTAATTTAATACCACGAAGAAGTCAAGAAAAGACTGCAAAAGAGTTATGGTATGGTGATAATAATTAGATTAACATAGGACTAACAATGTTGTTGATGTCCTTTCTTGTATATGTGCTTTCCTTTGTTATAATACTTTCATACCTTGTTGTGTTTACATAATCAAGAACCTTCTAATTAATTAATCGTGTAAGAAATGGAGAAATATTGTATACATCATTAAGCAAATCACCCATATTCTTGTAGAATATACGTGGCAGGTTAAAATTTCAATACTGTTGGATATAAAAATAATAAATAATGTACAAGCGTGTATGTACTCTTAAAAGGTTGATTTTAAGACCCCGTGACTTTTGTGACGCTAAAAAATCAAACAAGGAAGTGAATATAATTAATTAAAATAAGAAAAAAATATACTAATTATTAGATTTACATTATTCTTTTTTATAAAATAGATTTAATAATAATAACATTGTAGCTGTTCACAAAGAAGCGTTTGTAGTCCAACGGTTAGGATAATTGCCTTCCAAGCAATAGACCCGGGTTCGACTCCCGGCAAACGCATTTTCATTTTTCTGAAATTTGATTTTTTTTTTTCACCTATTAAAGGGAAATTTCTTCATTAATTGCGCAATATGTTATATTAAAGGAGAATTTAGTTGAGTGCTGTGCGAGATTTTGGAAAATTCAGCCTTAATGATGGGAATATAAAATTAAGTGTACAATATTGATTGACAACAATGATTGACCACCATGTGTTATCAAAATCAAAGCCTCTGATGTAAGCAGATTTTAAAATGGATGAATAGATGATTTCAAATAAGATGTTGTCAACCAATATTATACATATAGTATGATTCTAAGGATGGAGACATGTTGAGCCTATTAGTAATGGGCTCGAAGGGTTCCGCAATTGAGTCGTGTCGCAAAAAAATGTGAAGAAAATGGTCATTTTTAAAAAAGTTTATCAAGGATAAAATTGATAATTTGAGCCCTAATGAAGTTAGTAATGTATCTATGTAGACTGCTTACCATCACCAGTTTAAGTTATACTGAAAGGACATTAATTAATTTGCCACCTTAATGTAGGGATACGGTGTTAGAGAAAAATAAGTGATTTGTATAATAAAATATCAACTAAATAATAAATTTAAAATAAATTCATAAGAGAGTTCGAAATACCGATATAAGAGAATCGCGAAAATCATTATCTAAAAAGTCGTGTGACCTTCCCTTCAGACGATGCACTTTCAACTCTATACAACTTTTATAGCTCACAATCAGTTATGATTATATAAGCACAACCATTAGGAGAAAAAGAATAAGTCGTACATCGAGTTGTCAAAACTATAGGAATGTAATATGAAATGTATAGAGAGTATTCTTTCAAGTTGTATATATAAACAATGAAAAATCCCATCCATTTTATTATAAAAATATCAACCCCACATTCATGAAAATTATACCATTCAGTATAACTTACATTCCAAAATTTTATTTTAAATCTGAAAATTAAAATAAAGAAATAACTGAAAAAATAAGTCAATTTAAATTTTGAAAGGTTAAAGCTTTATACTGTTATAACAATCCCCATAAAGTTTAAACTTTCAAAATTAATATATATAGTGATAACATTATATTATGTAATAAGTGTAAGTGTCTTTTGAATTTGAACCTCGCACGCTGATGACAATTTTCATTTGAGAGAGTCATAATGAATTAAGCTTTGAATAGGCCCCTGTTGCCAAACTTCAATTGCCCTCCATACACTATCAATTTAAGCTCAGTTTGTAACGAATTGTGTTGTCGTGCGTTCTTATCTTGATTCTAATAAGAGTTTCTAAGGAAGTCCAAGCTCATAGCTATGATCTCATGACAACTCATATATATGTAAGCCCTTGAAGAATGCGTGTATTCCACACTTCGCGAAAATTCTCATCTCGATATTCATTTATGAGCAAACTTTTCTTGACATCACAATCAGTAGCATTGTCACCATAGCAGTGATCACAAATAATATAATGCTATTATGAGTCACGTATGGGAAATTATTTCTATTATATTGAACATTCTTCATGAGTTCTTCAATCACAAATGTTGAATTACTCTCGAAGTTAACTCCATTGTGGACTTAAGCCCATCCTTCTTGATGGTCCATCGTTGACTACAATTTATTCGTGTATCTTTTGAACAATAATTTAGCACCATCAATTTTAATTACCCAAAATTCACCAAGCTCTTATTTTCCTCATATAGAATTGCAAATTCTACGTATCTGAAAATTCTTCGTAAACATCCTTATCAACCATATTATCCTAGTTCACCATAAAAAAGATGATGGAATGCATCATGCACCATATCGACCAAATTTAAAAAAGGAACAAATACAAATAAATTAAAATTACCAATGGCCATTATTCTATCATCAATCAAATTTTCGACATCAGGTATTATATCAAAAAGTTACCGATCGAGATTTCACCAACCGAACTTTCAACTGTTTCCGTTCGTCATTTTCAATAGTTCGTCATTTTCAACAGAAAAAATGCACTCCACCGACGATTTTTAAATCAATAGATTCAATGTTTAGCATCTATATGGAAAACAAACTTGATAGATGTTTGGTTCAACTAAAAGAGTTTATTAAAATTTTAATCAAAGACAATAATTAATTTTAAACACACATTTCATGATACCCATGACCTTTCAATCACATATTTTATTAACTTTTATTGAAATCTATTAGAAATATGATGCTTATCTATAATAAATATGGACTAGATGTTAAGCTCTTGTTTAATGGAAAAATTTAGAATTTTATCAAAATTAAAGTCAACAATTAATTTTAACCACATATTTCATAAGACCCACAACTTCTCATTCATACATTTTATCAGCTTTTATCAATATTTGTTAAAAAATTTGATTTTAATCTCCATCAAATATGGGCTAAAATTACAAGATCAACGCAAATTTATTGAAATTAAAAATATATAAATTTCGAACATATAGAATCATACTCACCTCGTTTCTTCAAATTTGCCTTTTCAGATTAATGTTTGATGCAGTCCCAAATTATGTGAAATATTTGTACATTAGGTTTAAATCATCGTTGTCCTCCAAAATATTTGAAGGAGGCCAGAAAACTTCCACCGTCGATTTATTATCACTAATTTGTAGGGAATTTTTGTCCGAATTGATTGATCTATTTGGTTTGTCTGGGTGAATAGACAACTAGGGAGAGGGGTCATCTTCGATCAACTATTTTTCTTGGATTGAAAATACTAGGGTTGGGCAAAATGTCCGAACCGAACTGAACCGAATCGGAATCGAATCGAACCGAGCGGGTTTTCTTAACTTAAAAACCCGAAGAACCGAGAACCGAAGAACCGAAAAATTTTGGTTCGGTTCTCGATTCTAGACCTAGAACCGAAGAACCGAATTTTTTTTGATAAATCAATTTATTTTATTTTTTCTAAATAAATTAACAATTTTTTGTTTTAACTATTTGATATATATATATTATTCCTTAACCTAACACAGGTTTCATTTTGGGCTAGTTTGTAGTTTTGTTTTTATTTCCTATTGTACTTAGTTTAGATTGGGTTTGATTTCAGTCTTGGGCTAGGCTTTAGTTGATATTTTAGCCATTCATGGTTGGGTTTAGGGTTTAGTTGCTAAG